AGCTGATAAAGAACACCCTGAGAATACAATGGAAACCCTTAAAATCCCCCCAAAGGCCAAGTCATCAAAAGATTTTGACTACAAGACTTTGACTCAGAGATATATATATTATAGACACACACACACACACACACACACACACACACACACACACACACACACACACACACACACACGGCAGGTCACCAGTCTATCATTGCACTAATACAGACCACACCTATGTCCAATTTAAAATCCACAGCTAACCTAACATGTATGCTTTTGAACCGAGACAAAGCTGGATAAGAGAATCCATGCAGACTCAGGGAAAACATGCAAACTCCATTTTAAAGGTAAGAAAAATGCATTGGGTTGTTTTTTTTTTTCATTAAAACTGCACACAACACTACCTAAAATATTCTATTTAACAAAATGCTGACTCTTTTCTCTTCCCTGTATTTCTCTTTGTTTGTCTGTCCACATCCATGCATACATAGCTATCTCCAGCAACCCGTCTTTCCTTAGCTGGCTTTCCCATAAGGGCCACATTCCTCCCAGCTCCACTCTCTGACACATTTACTCTGTGTTATCTTTATCCTTTCACCTCCCTATGCTAAAATGGGCATTTGTATTCCAGAGTCAGCCTGGCAGGGTATGCTTATCTCTTCAGAAGGCCTTTGAAAAGGCTTCGATTCTGCAGAGGCAACCTCTGTGACATTTCATGACACATTAACAGAGTTCAGTAGGCAGGTCACTAACTAGACAGCTATTGGTAGCAGATCCATCAAGGCTATGACGGGAGATGAAGTATTTGGTTCAGCATCAAACAAAGCACGTTATTCCCCAGTGCAGGTGAGCAGGATGGAGAATTCCTAACAAACCACGCCTGGCTTCCAGATGTGTACCATGATAGTGACAGACAGATGTGACCTGTGTAAGGTATTTGAAGCTGAGTGGGCTTTGTGATTCTCAAGTTGCTATGAGTACTGAGACAAACCAAAAGGAAAGTAGAGACTATGATACGGATTGAGATTACCTTAAACTCCTGTGGTTTTATACAGATTTCTCTGGATTTTATAATTCTCAAAAAGCCAATGAGAAGTGGAAAATGCAGACAGTGGCTTGGGTGTAGATCTAAGTGCACAGACAGTCATAATAATGGTCAGTGAAGTCTGGTGTTTGCTTCAGACCCATGTAAGTGCTGTGGCTATGAAGACAGATATAAAGTGCTTAGAGTAAACTATAAAACTAATCATGTATTCACTTCATTCACAAGCTTTTATTTATTTTTATAGTTTTAACAAATATTCTATGAAAATTAGTTATGGGATTTATTATTTTCATCTAGTTTACTTAATAAAACTTCTATTAAAGTGGGAACTGTTATGCTAATTTATAGTTTCATCTTTCTAATTCTTAGGCTTTCTAGAAGAGCTTTGCAAAAAGCCTTCTTTATCTCATACTGGGCCTTGGTGCAGTTCCTCAGGTCCTTTTCCACTAACCATGATAAGTGTGTTGCTCACGTTATTGTTAATTTTTATCTGCCACCAGCCAGCAACACCAACCTCACTAGAACCTGCTGTGGGGCCTGAGCTACGGAGAACGTTCTTATCTGGTCTCACTTGCCTTAAAGTAATCGGTCAGACCAAGTAGTCCCAGAAAGTTATCAATCTAGCTATAAGCATGTTTATGTGAATAAAGCAGTGTTGTTAGCGATCACAGAAAAGCATGAACAAGTTATCTCACTGGGCCCAAAATCCTGCTTCGTAGAACTGGCCTCTGGTCCACTGCTAGCTCTAATCTTTCAGATCATCTAATCTAAATCTAATAACTAATGTTTATAAATCTTGTTTAACTCTTAAATGATCTGTTTCTGAGTCCAGTTTTGTGATTTCCAGAGACTCGACCAACTACAACAGCAAATCCTTGTTTTCAATCATTGAAAGAACAACAGCCATAGTGGCCTTTTTTATGCACTGACATACTTTTACTTAAGTAACATTCTAAGTGTTTTGCTTGTAATTGAGGTTACTTTAACAGCGTAGTATTACTAAATTGCATTTAAGTAACAGATCTGACTCCTGGTGGGAAAAAAAAAACACTGCTGCAGATGTCCTTGAAAGAGCTTTAGGAAAATATTTGAAAGAAAGAAAAAAAACAATGAAATGTATTTGGTATTAAATCCTCCACACATGCAGCAGTACATCATCTGTGTGCTAAATAGAAAAGTAATTGTTCTCTTGTAAATATGAGGGGGGAAAACTGTCTCCACTTAGAAAAAATATCAGATGCAGTTCTGTCTTTCCTCTTACAAAATACACTGCAAACATACTAAACTGTGTTACTATGCATGTCAGCTTCTTTTCCTGCTCATGTGGACTTGTGTTGTCAGCACAGCTGGCCCTCAGCTGACAGCAGTGTAATGTGTGGATGGTCTTCAGGTCCTGGCACATTTCTTCTTGCAGGCCCTCTTGGATAATGTTTTCTCAAAGCTGTGAAAGCTGTCAGGGCTTCACTGCTTACTGGGGCATGTATCATCTACAAGCTGCCTCAGCCTCTGTTCTTTTTTCATCTTTGTCCTGCTTCTTTTATCTTTTAAGGTGTGTAGTCACTCTTTCAGGCTGTATATACTGCATAATGTCTCAGAGAGGGAAATTACTTGAAGAATTAGCTTACACATCCACTGATATCGTAGTTGGTAATTTACCGTAGATTAATATACACATTACAGCCTGTTCAAATACGGTTTAGTTTAAGATCTGATCTTGTATCGTCCTCGTTGGTGATAACTATGCATCTAAAAGCTACTCAGTAAAAGATGAACAGAAAACTCACCAGCTGCATCTCTACAGCCATTGAAATAGTGAGAGACCTTGGGCTCTTTCCTCTTCCTGAAGCTTAGGCCATTGATAACTGCCTGGCTGCAGCCTCTTTACTACCTGTTCCCATCTCAGTCCTGCCACTCTGATGTCTACGACGATGTCGAGCTGCTAAATGTTTTCACAGACCTTCCTTCTTATTTCGCCTTGTTGGCTACAGCCATCTGATGCCAGTTTTCTCAGGGTGTGGCCGAGCCTTCCCTGTGCTGGTGCTCTGTCTGCCGCCATAAGTTGACTATTTTTCTGGCCATGAGATCAAGAGAATTTGGTTTAGGCACTAGATCATAAAAGTCTGAACTTTCCACATGTTGGCTTTTTGTTCTCCATTTCTCTGCTCCATACAGCAGCAATGATTTGATGGTAAATGGCCTGTATTTGTATAGTGCTTTACTAGTCCCTAAGGACCCCAAAGCGCTTTAAACATCCAGTCATCCACACATTCACGCACACATTCACACACTGGTGATGGCAAGCTACATTGTAGCCACAGCCACCCTAGAGCGCACTGACAGAGGCGAGGCTGCCGGACACTGGCACCACCGGGCCCTCTGACCACCACCAGTAGGCAGCAAGTGAAGTGTCTTGCCCAAGGACACAACGACCGAGACTGTCCAAGCCTGGGCTCGACCCGGCAACCTTCCGATTACAAGGCGAACTCCCAACTCTTGAGCCATGATCGCCTTGATGCTCGAATTGAGCAACTTGTTGCGTTGGTGGATCTCCTTGGAGCTATAGAAGCTCTGATTTCATCTCAAATATCTTCAGAACAGAGTCTGCCCCATCTTGCTTGTCTGTCACCCCACCGTTAAGAAGTTTGCTTCTTCTAGGAGTTCATGGTCCAGCCAAATGAGTTAGTTCCTGCCTTTATTGACCTTCCATATCTTGATCTTAACTGTGTGGTTGTTCACACCTGAGCTTAGGATGTTGCAGGTCAGGCTGAGATTGTCCACAGACATGGCTCCATCTCCAAAGGCCATATTTTGTGTGCTTGAGAACAATGTTGCTCAATTTTCACATAGTTTCATCCTGGTACTTTACATTAGCCAACTTTGTTAGGATTTCACACCAGAAGTTGACTCTTCAACTTCTTTTGAACAATCTTTTATTCTACTGAAGAATTTCTGCAATTTTTCCAAAACTGCAATAATCTCTATACACTAAATTTAAAAATGTTATTAGTAGTAGTTATGAGGCATAATTGAAACAGACTGATGTGGAATCATAATAAATAATAACAAATATATGGCATCATGTTAAGTGCACACTTTTGAGGGAGAATTTAACAGTATTTCATTATGATATTTGTAACTAGCCTTGAAAGGATTTGAAGTTGAAGTCATTGTCAACTAACCTGAAGGATGTGGAATAAAAGCATTAGATATTATCTGCTGGGATCTCTGGTCCAATAGTATCAGCACTGCTGCTGTTTTTCTGTGTTGTGTTCCCCAAGAGAGCTTGTCAACAAGACAGCTGACACGAGGGCCACAAACTGAGTACTTATTCAGATCAAAGGTATGGAAGAGATGCCAGAAATGTGTCAAAACCGAAGAAGAAGTGGCGCCATAGACACCTGCCTGTCCTGCAACATGTTAATCACTGTCAGCTTCTTTACAATGATGTCAGGGTGTACAGAGTGCCATCAACGACCTGCTGTTATGGAGAGGGAATTTTGTGCTTACAGAGCTGTTTAATGTCTTAATGAAGTCACTCGTGTGAAAAAGATAAACGTCTGTTGCAAGAAAAAAAAGAGTTCCCCTGTGGAGAAGAGGTTACATTTCTGCTGAAACATGGAAAAGTAGATACTCAAGTGATGCATTTTCTATTTCTCATTCTCTGCTTGGTAAAAATAACTATTTGCACAAAGCAGAATGCAATTTAAAAAGTCGTTGCAGAAACCTTTGGGCCCAAACTAAACCTTGGTTTTTGGTGGGCGGAAAGGGAAATATAAATTGTTTGTTCTTATTTCTCACAAAGAAAAAGAAAATTGAAATGGCAGCTGTGCATTTCAGAAGTTTTCCCTTTGCCACAGAAATGCCTCCGCTGTAAGGACAAGTAAAAACCCTGAGCCTGTGTGATGGCAAAACATCACAAAGGCTGGAAAGGAAAGGTTAAAACAAAATGAAAGCACGTCCGTGAATTTACCTTTAGACCACTGGGCAGTTGGAAATCTAGAGAAGCTCAGCTGATGAAAAACTGCAGAGAAAATCTGTTAGCATCGTCTCAGCCTCTGTCTTTGTCAGAGTGACTGGAAACAAGAGACAGGTGGGAACAATTAAGAAACTGAAGAGGTGGGATGATAAACACAGGAGGTAATACTACAGGAGACACACAAGCAAAGCTGGTAACCAAAATTGAGAAGGCCAAGAGAATCCAACAGAGAAAAGAATAGATAGAAAAATAAGAGAGAGCCAAGGAATCACAACGTAAAAACTAAGCAAGGTTGGCAGAGTCTCGTTTGAAGCCTGAAGTTGAGACCATTTTTTAACTGCATTATTTTCTTAACTACAGACGACTGCTTTTTGACTCCCGTAAGGACCATAATTTACCATAAATGACTCGCCAAACAAAAAAAGTAAGAGCCAATGACTTCCTTTAAACCAGTGGATTTGACTCTAGTGGGGAAAAATGGAAGTTTTAATTGTGTCTGGAGTGGCTTCAATGTTCAGACCGGAAAGCTGCGCCAATTTTTTTTAATGCAGTGATCGTGCAGTTTTTCTTGTTAGCTTGTTGGTGGCATGTTGATGCAGTAATTGGCATTGTTGACTCGCAGTAAAAACTACAAATTTTCATGCAAATTGTTTTGCCTGCTGCAAAAAAATTAGCAAGTGCAACCACATGGATAAAGTGGAGTAATTTAAAATAAAACATTGAGTTGAAGGATGAGAATAACCAGTGATTGACGATATGCACAAATCATTTACAACGACCTCTAGCCAACAACTGTTTTTATAACTCTGAACAGAAGTATTTGGAAATGCTCTTAACAATATCCTTACCTAAATATATATTCAACTTAGTTTGTTGTACCTTTTCATAATCAGTAATGTCTGTGTAGGCATGTGATTGTGATTGGGGGATGTATGGAGAAGGTTCAGTTTAGGAATGAACAAATGAAAGTGAGCTGGTATATTTTTAATCTTAAGGACTATGACCTCTGGAATAACATTTAGATCATGTGAACATAGAAATTCTAGACTTAGTTATGGTTAATCTAGAAGGTCTTACAGACACTTTAAAAAAACAGAAGTACAGTGAATAATAATAACCATAAACAAAATTAACTTCTCATAACTATGAGGATTTAGGGGGGGTTTCAAAGCTAGCACATAACCATGAAATTCTTCCACAGCTAAACCTGAAGGAGACACAATTGCGGTATCTGTCTTCGGTTTGCTTCAAGGTTGGAAATATTTCCTGGATCGCTTCTGTCAGGGCCTCCATGCCTCCACTGTTGCCTGTCTTTGTCCTCTTTTTCCTGTTTTCTCCTTGCCCGTTTCTGTTTGGTGGTATTTGTGCAGTTCTCATTCTAAGAAAGGAGGATCCTACGATTTTTGTCAGTGCCACTGGTATCGGTAAGCACAGGATTACCTCCTGAAGGAGAATGTCTGGCCATCAGTTGATGTCCTGAAGCTCAAGCTCATTTTGGTTATGCAGCAGGACAACAATAATATAAAAAGTGAATTTTGTTTTTGTTTGGGTTATCTTTGTCAAATATTACAATTGTTTCATGATCTGAAGTGTGGCAAATACTTAAAAGGAAGAAGGAAATCAGGAAGGGGGCAAATACTTTTTCACGGCACGGTTTGTTGTGCAAGTAACAACATGATTGTTTAATTAGTAACTGCAATGTAATGTAGTACTATAACCATATCCATTACATCATTGCATTATAGACAAATGTAATGTATACAGGCCATGATGTACCAATGTATTAGTGAGACAGTGCTGTTATTTCCTTCTTGTCATTTTCAGAAGTGTGGTGTCACTATTGGGAAGCAGTTTTTAATACCTTACTTGCACTTCCTGCTAGGATTGAAAGAAATTAAAGCACAAACCATGGTCTCCTGCCTGATGAACCAGCAACTTAAGTTCAAGCTTTTTCACAACAGGGTGTATCGAGGTTTGGGGAGATTTGTGATCTTGGTTAATGTGGACTCCTGGGTGTTGCTGGTCTCAGTCATCTAATCATCAAGCCACAGTACTTGGGGCGACCGTGGCTCAGGGGGGTTGGGAATCGCATCTGTAACCGGAAGGTCGCCGGTTCGATCCCTGGGCTCTCTGTCCTGGTCGTTGTGTCCTTGGGCAAGACACTTTACCCTACTGGTGTTGGCCAGAGGGGCCGATGGCGCGATATGGCAGCCTCGCTTCTGTCAGTCTGCCCCAGGGCAGCTGTGGCTACAACTGTAGCTGCCTCCACCAGTGTGTGAATGTGAGAGTGAATGAATAGTGGTATTGTAAAGCACTTTGGGTGCCTTGAAAAGCGCTATATAAATCCAATCCATTATTACTTATACCCCAGTACTGTAACACTGAGGCCATCTCCAGGTGTTTTATAAAGATTTCCTCTGTGCGCTTGATCCTCTTGTGTACCATCCTGCTCTGTTTGCTCCAGTCTGATTCACCAGCTCAAGGCCTGAACATCATTCACACGACTAAATATTTTGACAGCTAGACAGCTTCTGGTCACAAACCTGTTTTCTTTTTTTTAAGTAACAGGCACCTCCATCGTCTTCAGCCAGAAGACTTCCTTTTGTTCCGACTTCCCTCTCTCTCACCACCTGCCTGACAGTTAAAGTGCAGCCTGGAGACAATCAAACGCTAATTACTTCAAACTCAACTCCCTTCAAACCTTACACAATGAGCACTTACCTCTTTCCCTGCATTACCAGTAATTTGTGTCCCGTTTAAGGAGGGAAGGATGGTTTTTTTTTTTTTTTTCCAGTTTCATCAGTCAGAAGGGTGGGGAGCTTTGTGAGACCTGGACATGATGTCAGGATGCTGACAGCTCCTCCTCGCAGCTGAGTTATTACTTTGAGAGCTTGACTGCAGGTACAGCACTTTTTTTACACTACACCACTGAGCTACACAAATGTGTGTTTGATCAAAGGATTAAGCAGAAAAAAGATCCTCTTGTTTCATTTATTCAGTCAATATGGGGCCTGTCAGTTATTCTCTTCCTTTTTGCATGTCAAAAGTTTTAGTCAGGTTGCTGCAACAAATTAAAATTCATTTATAGGCACTTAGTGTTAACAGCAAAACAAAAGATTTTGATCGCTTTTATTTTTCCCTCCTTTACCTCCCTCAGGCGGTGTTAATTTGGAGTTGCATTTTTCCTTACTCGCAGGATAGGTGCAGTCCTGTTCATTAATATTCATTGTAACAGAATAAGTTAAACACACACTTTTTTAAAGTAGGACTGCTCAATGTTTTGCCAATTTCTTTAAAAAGAAAAAAAGTTGAGCTACATCAGCACCTAAGTGTCGAAATTTGTGACAGAATTATTGAATTTCAGTGAAATCCCTGCATAACACAAGGGTGAATCACATTAATGTATATTTAATATCGCAGGATCAGTGCTGTAAGTGTGTCTGTAACTGTAGGTCAGTTGAACCACATTACAAACACCTGCCTAAATCAGTAATACCGCCAGTTCAGATATTTCATGAATAAATACCAGGTATATTGTATAAAAGAGAAAGTTACATGATGATCTGCACCAACTTGCTCAACATCTGATCCAGCTGTGCAGCACATCTCACACACCTAACCCTTAAGTACTAAATTGCTGTTGTGTTCAATTTATTTCGATCATGTAAACAATATACAGAAGTTAGGAAAGGCACGAGGAAAGTCATACAGCTTGACGGAGGACCCGACGAGGAACTGAGGGAGACGCAGACAAAAATACTCAGAAGGATAACGAGGGATGTGGGAACACACGGGGAACACAGCTGACACTGATAATCATAACGAGACAGGGCAGGAGCAAACACAACATGGCGTATGCTGACGGGAAACTGACAAAGTAAAACAGGAAGTACACAGGAGGGGGAGAGAGAACACGGGGAGAGCAAAGATATAACGGGCTGGGGAAAACATGGAATAAAACACGAGGAGAAACGAGGCTTGGGAACTCACAGATACATGGAGGGGGACACGTGGGTTAAAGACACGAGGGGAAATCTAAGAAACTAAACCGAACAACCTAGGAACCATGGAATAAATAAAGACCAAAATACAAAAACACAAGAAAACTATGACCCAGAATCATGACAATAATACAAGAAATGATATACAAAATAAAGCAAAATGCATAAGTGCAGCCTTCTGGACAGCTTTGCAAATCGTGCAAGTTGCAGTTTCTCAGTAAATGCAGGGGAAGATTAATTATTTTCAAACACTTTAACTCCTCTGTCTTATGACGTGCATTTTAGATCACAAACTGTTAAAAGCTCACTTTTATTTATTTATTTATCTTAGACTGGTTACCTGTAAATGGATGGATCCTGGCAGCCTCCAGTTCCCAGGGAAAATCTATTCCTTGACTGGTTGGCAAGTGGACTGGTCATGGACTGGTCATGCAACACAGAGCACCTGTACAAAAAAGCCCAAAGCCGACTGTACTTCCTCATATATATATATATATATATATATATATATATATATATATATATAATATTCTGTAACTCTGTAACTTCTGTCGGTGCTGTGCTTTTTTGGAAATCGAATTTCCCAGAGGAACCCACCCGAGGGATTAATAAAGTTCTATCTAATCTAAAGTGGTTGCTGGAGGTTTCAGTCGCAAAGAGGGTGACACACCAAAAGCCTTCTTACAATTTCTTTGATCAACAGCAGATTACCCCAGTCATCAAGATGCTAACTTGTCTGGAAGCACTTGCCACCTACTAGCAGGAAAGTAGTGAAATGTGAAAGTGTGACGCAAACTAGAAATGGGCTTGCACAGCTGAAAAAACATCCCAAAAGAGAAGAGAACAGAGGAAACAAGCATATGGCTGTGGCGGTCTGAGCCTCAGCGTGTGTTTCTCTGTTTCCTGTTTTATTGTGATAGTCTCTTTTTCTCTGTGAGTTATGTTATGTTCTGCTTCCCCTGTCTCCTCAGTCAGACTATGCTCAGTTGTGTTCCCCAGGTGTTTCCTCTCTGCTCTCCTTCCCTCTTGTGTGTATATTGTCTGTGTCTCCCCTTGTCTGTTGTTGCGATCTCCCTCAATGTGTGGGCCTCCTGTTCA